TTTATTTATTTATTTATTTATTTATTTATTTATTTATTTATTTATTTATTTATTTATTTATTGGTAAATGGGGGCCCACAAGCAACTGCTTGGTTTGCTTGTAGGTAAATCCGGCCCTGGATACATGGTTCAGTTTAACAGTACAAACTTTTTCACGTGTTTTGATGCTTACTGTCTATTTAAAAAACTAAAGTATTACTTCTTTAAAATTATTTCTTAGGGAGAGGAAAACCACTGAGTACCTCACAAAGAATCATCCAAATTTGCAAAAAGTATGTTTGGGAAACCTATTTTTTATTCTGGTGGCGTTTATTGGTGCTTTGCCGAGGTTGCATTGGGATAGTTGTGTAATTGATGCCATATTACTGTAAAAAATATGGGATAACTTGGTGATGTGAGGTATGATAGGTTTTATTTGAAATTATTTATGAAGTTGTTTGTTTGTGATGAAACAGGGTGTATTGGTTATTGTTCGCAGGAATTTATTCTGTGTGGCCTGTATTTTATGGATATAGGTTTTTTCTGCAGTTAATCCAGACAGAACAGGCATATAGCATTAGGGGACTTATTATGGCTGTGTATATGAGTTTCGCATTTTCTATAGTTATTTTAGTGTGGTTGTTTATTTATGATCTGAATTAGATTAGTTTAACTGAGCACTGTAACCACTCGAAGAAGATCATACCGTCGAAAATGTAAGAAAAGGTCGTTACTAATGCTGGAATACAAAAAAAAATCAATAAAACGTGTACTTTTGATAATATTAACACAAAAAGTTCCATTTATTATGGATAAGCAGGTTAAAGATTAGAATTCAGTAAATAAAAATGAGGAAAGTTGGCTTTATTTCATCACTTAAGTCTTGTCATGCAACGTTTCAGCGATTTTGTTGGTGAAATAAACAAACTTTCTTCATTTTTATTTACTGAATTTTCATCTTTAACCTGATTGTCTACAATAAATGAAACTTTTTGTGTTTATATAAATAGAACATACTATCAATAGAAACTTAGTAAATTTGATAATATCTTGTTTCTCATTTAAACATTTAAAGAATGTTTAGATGGTGTTAGTGTAGAGCATTTTTATGGAAATAAAGGATATAGACCAGTGCGGTAGCAATCAAACAGATTGATACCCAGACAAATCCCCAAACAATGTCTAATTTCTTCAGGCAGTTAGAAAATAAAGTAATAAGTAAATAAATAAATATATTCTTAACCTTCAAAGCATGATACAGAAAATATGTATAATATGATACAGAAGATATGCACATTATGTTTCCAGGTATCCAGGTTCCAAATTCTTGTTAGTAACAACGGCAGCTAAACCAATCGATCACATTGAGTCATACAAAAAACATCTAGAAGTCATGTGGAAGTCATACGGCGTGTTTCGCGCCGCACTTGTGGCTTTGGCGTGGAGGAACAACGAGGATGGTGGACGGAATGAATCCACAAGCACAAATCAGCCCCAGCTGGTGCAGTTCGACCCAGGGCTTTATCACTTCAGCGCAAGTCCCTTAGGCCCCGACTCTCATGTCGTCGACCGCGCCTTCATTGCCGACTACAACTGCAGAACGTTGCCCGTCATTAACAGCATCCTTCCTTACGGCGACCCCAGCGGACCTCTCGGCGCCCTCTCTGCTGGCTCCTGCGACTGCGAATCTGAGGACTTTCTCCCGCATGTGGTGCCGACAACCTCAGCCTCTTCTGCCACAACCACCGGTCAGGACGAAGGTGTGTTTCTAGCATAACATTGGATTTTCTTTTGAATGCATGCTAAGAATACACATTTTGTACACATTTTTTTCCTCATTCGATGTCCTGCCCCAAAACGTATCTCTGAATCATTACAAACCTCCTGAGTTGAAATATACTAGCTCTTTAGTAACACACTGAAGTCCTGTCATTATTATTTGAAAGGTAAACAAATAGGAAAACTGTTTCCAGGGCGATTAAATAATGACTCGTGCCACCCAACCCATCAAGTTTCTGGGGTACTTTTTTGGATTGTAATCATCTATAGAAGCAAAGGCTGAGAGTCGTAGGCAAGGCGTGTGGGGTCTTGTACGTTGGAGAAAAGGCTGCTGACGTGCGCGTGCTTTTCATCCACCCGCGTGCCAAGTTTATTTTCATTGGGAATCGTTTGGACATTTAGAAAAAAGCTTAATTTTTTACAAAACTTATCGAACCAAAGAGTTTTTTTTTAAATTATATATACTACATTTTTTAAAAAACTATGTTTCCCTCTCGAAAGACATTTGAGCAATCTACTCAACCAAATTTACTGACATTTTCTTTAAATGAAAAGTTGTGTGCCTATATATTTTATAACTTGTTCTTGTTATCTGGTTTTATAGTAAAAACGTTATCTTAACAATATATTAAAAGTAATACAAGGAAAGCCAATTTGTCGTCATTCTGTTTAATATTTAGTTTTCAATATTAATACAATGTTAATTGGCCTTGGTCGTTTAGTTTGGAAATTGAACTTGATGTATCGAAAATATTCGATATTTCGTCAGCTGCGCAAACATGCGTGTTAGTGTGAAGATGTCATTGCACTGTGACGTTACAGTTCGTGATGCGAAGATGGAAAGTTTTAATTTCTTGCATACTGAATACGCAGTATTGAGAAAGTATTGTAATTTTTCGGGATAAACTATGATTTTTCAATAGAAAACTCTTACTTCCGAGTCCTGGAAACAAAAAGAGAAAATTTTGTTCTAAGAGATAGTAAATTAATTCCTCTAACACGTTGTTTAATCTGAATCCATGTTTAGTGGGTATTGATACCGACATTGTATTATGGCAAAATATTCATCCGTCAGTACCCGGACCACGCGCTTCAGCGTAGGGATACATTTCCGTTTAGTTACATTCACTTGATTCTCTCTCTCTCTCTCTCTCTCTCTCTCTCTCTCTCTCTCTCTCTCTCTCTTTCTCTCTCTCTCTTTTTCTCTTTCTCTCTCTCTTTCTCTCTCTCTCTCTTTCTCTCTCTCTTTCTCTCTCTCTTTCTGGATAAATTTTTAATTAAGATATGGCCTCGCAAATCGGGTTGCTTGGCATTGATATTCAAATCACCGCATGGCATGAGATGGGTCCTGTAGTTGCTCATTAAGTAGTAGAAAGGGCTGGCTGAACAGTTCAGTCGGAATCAAAGGCGCACAATACATTTGGGAAAATGTTCCATGTGCAATATCTTTTGTGTGACTGAGAAGTATTCCCGGGGCGTCAATTACTGAGTTATATAATCCCGTAAATGTAATGTATGTATGTATATCGAAAGGTGGAGATAGTCCTCTCCCACTCAAACGAGAGATCCAACACCTGCCTACACGTCAACTTTCGGGATGTTCCTCTCCAGGTATTTCTATCAGTTACAATTTCGTTCTGACGATAGATACATTTTTTCACCGGCTCGGTCAAATTCAGTCGCTGTCTGGAGGAGAATTCTAGTGGCCGGCTACTCTGATCGAGTTGTCTGTGGTTTCTCCGATCAACAGCAGGAGAATGCCGGGACAGTACCCTAACAAATGGGACACGGAACGCACGTGATCTCTCCTTCCTCTTCCTTGTCGTACCCTCACCCTTTACTTACACACATTAACACTAACATGAACTATACTGCCACAAAAGTCGAAAGACTAGCCGGTAGATTCGAGCTCTTCCCATCTGGGGTGGTTCCGCTGTGGTGGTAAATAGATGGTTGGGGAAAAACACCCACACATCAACGTGTGTAGGTATGCGTCGGATCTCGCCATTAAGCATACACTTACGGGACGAAAGTGCCGAGCAAATGAAGTCGTAGGCTTCCGCGGCCAGTCATGTGCGTGATCTGGGCTGTCCGGGTGACGCCGCGTCGAAGGCTGTGTTGCATACCAGCCCTGAGGAAGACCACGACAAGATGGTCGAAACGTCGGCAACACAGCCTTCTCGACGTCACCCGGACGCGACGTCACCCGGACGCGACGTCACCCGGACGCGACGTCACGTCAAGACGCGACGTCACCCGGACAGCCCAGATCACGCACAGAGCCTAGCAGTTAACGCGCCATTTGTACCCTTTCCCCCTCGACAGCCGCTCCGCCGCCGCCGTCGTCGGGGATGGCGCTGGGGCCGGCGGCGGGGGCGGGGGCTGTGCAGGAGCCGCGGGAGGCGACGCGCGAGCGGAAGCTGCTGCGCGAGCTGTCTCGGCGACTGCGCTTCGCCTCACGGCTGCTGGCGCCTGCGCACGGCTCGGGCGAGGAGGTGCGGCTGGCCACAGCAACGCTTAGCGAGACTTCGATACTTCGATACGGCACCAAGAGTCGATGAAAGCATCGACAAAACATCGATGGATTAAATTTCGTGAAACATTTCCAATTAAAATAATAACCAATACATAACACGTCAATATTAGTTTAGAGTATTTTGCCATAAAATTAACTGTCATCTTCACTATTTAATCAATGCTCTATGAAGTCAATGTTCAAATTGCAGTTTAATGATATTACCAAGTAAAAATAATTAAAACAGTAATAACACATGAGATAGGTTGTGAATAGTAAACGGTTTTGTGCCGTCTGGCGATCGACAACAGAGACAGTTGTCCATTGCTTATGATTGCGAGAAATCCTCAAAAACATTAATTATTGAAAATTTTATTTATATCATGGTGAATTGTTTTTGAAAAGATCGATTTTTCTTAACAAATATATCGATCAGAAGAAAATATCAAAAGTAATACTTCCATGTTATACTATCGATGTTTCTGTTCGAAAACATCGATGATTTTTTCTTTCTCGCTACGGAGTAGAGAGAAAGTTATGTACGGGAAAAAGTAGCAAATTTTTGGCAGAAAAACATTTATTACAGGGCCCCGGTAATAAAATAGTTGATAAATCTAGATGCTGAATTTAAAAAAGTCCTCTATCACGTGGTGTAGGCAAAATCCACGTTTTGTTGGTCCTTGATACCGAAAAATGAAATGACTACAATACGTATGATCGTCTATCCGTCTGCCCGTTCGGCAGTCAAAACTGCTAGCGGCTAAACCATTCAGCCGATTTTCTTCAATATTGATATTTCCCCAACAATCTGCCTTATGTCGCCCTTTGAATTTTAAACCGAAATTTTAATTTTAAGGGGTACTTTACATTAACCCCTTGGCACACATTCCAAATTTTCAAAAAATGGCTTCAACATTTTTGATTACATTGTGTTATTGGATAGTATGAAAAACGTTTTAACAGAATTGAGCAGGTTTCATGTTCGTTAAAAACTGTGATTTTTCGAAAATTGCAAAGTTCAAAATTATTTTGGAACCTTCCTACTAATAAAATTTTGAAGATCGATATTTTTCTCTTAATAAATTCTATTCCTTAAATATAGATTTTGAAATAAAGTACATTTTTTTTCTAAAATGTGAGAAATTTTGCGTGCAAGTACGGACGACAGAGTAGCACCAGCAGCCCTGCCATTCGCAGGTGCGGCTGGTGCGCGCGCGCGAGGCGCAGCTGGTGGCGCGGCCGCGCCTGTTGGCGCCGCTGGGCGACGCGGGGGACGGGGCCCCCGAGTGGGTGGCGCCGGCGCTGGACCAGGGCCCGCTGTGCGTGCTGGCCAGGCGCCACGCGCCCCTGCCGCGCTGGACCGCGCTGCCGCTCGCGCTCGCCCCCGCCGTGTGGGGCGCTGCCGTCGGCGCCGCCGCCGCCGCCTCCGCCGCATGGCGGATCGTCGTCAGGTGCGCGCATTCAGGGACGGCAAAAGCAGGAATCACTGGGGACGGGTTTTCACAGTAAAATAACTACTTTCTATGGGACGTTTCAAGCTGGAATCGCTGTGAAGGCGATTTCAGAATAATGTTACTACTTTCTATGGAACGGTTCGAGCTGGAAACGCTCTGATGACGATTTCAAAGTAATGTTACTATTTTCTATGGGACGTTTCAAGCTGGAAACGCTGTGAGGGCGATTGCAAAGTGATGTCTCCACTTTCTATGGAACGTTTCAAGCTGGAAACGCTGTGAATGTGGTTTCAAAGTTATGTGAATATTTTCTAGAATTCGCTATATGCAGGAAAGAAGGTGAAGGGGATTTCAGAGTAAATGTAATACTTATTAGAAACTGGCAAGCAGTAAATGCTAAAAAGAGGATTTCAGAGTAATGTTACTATTTTCTTGGGTAAGTGGTGTGAAGATTACATTTTACTAATACATGTGACGTGAAATTTTCATCATTGGTAGAAAGACCATTTGCATTGCCTTCAGCAGATACACAAAATGCCTAGTACTTTAGAAGGGGCGGAGGCAAGTAGCTGAAAGCGAGTGACTTGTCTAGAGAAAGTCGGGCTTGGGCAGGTGGGCCGGGGTGAAAACCAAGTAGTATAAAGCTATTGAATTGTGTCTAGTGAGAGGACGCGATGTGAAGCCGCGGCGGCGCGTAACCTAGTAGTTTAATGCAAGTATCGCGTGTCTATCAAGAGGCAGCCGTGGATAAGCGCACCGGGAGCTTAGCTTAGCGATTGTCCTGTGTCTGGAGGAGGGTGTAAAGCGCAGGTGGGGCGGGTCGGAGTGAGGAGCCGGTGTGGCTGTTGGCGGGCGAGGGCGCGTGAGGTGGCGCGAGCCTGGAAGGGGCTGTGGGCTGAGAGATTGGCGTGCGCTGGCGAGGCGGGGCAGAGTCTAGTATCTTAAAGCGGGTGCTCTGTGTCACGACGGGCGTGGCGTGCGCAGGCGAGGCGGGTGGGGTGGAGCCGGCGTGGCAGCTGACTAATCCGG